TTTGGTGTTGTACCTAAATAGTTATAGCCAAGGTCATTTGGATTTTTCTTGTGTTATCTTTTATAAGCTTCATAATTTTGCCTTTTACATTTAGAACTGTGACCCATTTTGAGTTAATTTTTGTGAAGAGTATAAGACATGTGTCTAGATTCATTTTTTTTGTATGTAAATGCCCAGTTGTTACATCACATTTGTTGAAAAGACTGTCTTTGTTCCAGTGTATTGCCTTTGCTCCTTTGTTAGAGATCAGTTCACTAAATTTATGTGAGTCTACTTCTGGTCTCTGTTCTTTCCATTGACCTATTAGTCCATTCTTTCACCAATGCCATAGTGTCTTGTTTGCTGTAGTGTGGTAGTAAGCTTTGAAGTTGGAAATGTCAGTCTTCCAACCTTGTTCTTCAGTATTATGTTAGCTATTCTGGGTCTTTTTGCCTCTCCGTATAAACTTTAGAATCATTTTGTTGCTATCGACAAATCATTTTCTGGTATTTTTATTGGGATTGCATTGAATATATAGATCAAATTGGGAAGAATGGACAACTTGGCCATATTGAGTCTTCCTATTCAAGAACATGGAATTTCTCTTTAGGGTAAATAACATTGAACAGCAATCCTAGTTTATATAAGGTGGATATACTGTTTGAGATGAGATCTAAATTTCAAGGAGGAAGGCTTACAAAGATCTAGGGTAAAGTGGAGGGAAGAGCTAGTGCCAAAATGTGTAATTTAATTTAAAAAAATTTTAGATTACCTTGGAATTATTATATATCTCTTCTCCTTTGACCTGTAAGCATGACCAACTACATGAAGCATTTCCTAATGTTGAACCAGTTTAGCACTTCTGAGGAAAAACATTATTTCACCACTGTAATTTTTTGTTTTTTCTTGTCGAAATTTTATTTAAATTTTAATTAGTTAACATACAGTAAAATAATGGTTTCAGGAGTAGAATTCAGTGATTCTTCACTTACAACAACACCCAGTGCTCATCATAAAAGTGCCCACCTTAATACCCATCACCCATCTAGCCCACCCCCCACCCTCTTCCTTCCATTCACTCTCAGTTTATTCTGTATCATTAAGAATCCTTCATAGTTTGTTTCCTTTTCTCTTCCTCTTTCCACATATGTTCTTATGCTTTATTTCTTAAATTCTGCACATGAGGAGTTCTCATGGTATTTGTCTTTCTCTGATGGACTTATTTCACTTAGCATTATATACTCTAGCTCTATCCACAACATTGAAAATGTCAAGATTTCATTCTTTTTTAATGACTAAGTAATATCCCATTATGTGTGTGTGTATATATATATACATATATATATATATACATATAAAATACATCCTCTTTACCATTCATTAGTTGATGGACATTTGGGTTCTTTTCATAGTTTGGCTATCATTGATAATGCTGCTATAAACATTGGGGTGCATGTACCCCTTCAAATTTGTAGTTTTGTATCTTTTGGGTAAATACCGAGTAGTGCAATTGCTGGATTGTAGGGAAATTCTATTTTTAACTTTTTGAGGAACCTCTGTTCTCAAAAACCAACTGTTTTTGAGAGTGAATGCACAGTTTGCATTCCCATTAACAGTGCAAGAGGATTACCCTTTTCCCACATCCTTGCCAACACCAGTTTCTTGTGTTGTTAATTTTAGCCATTCTGACAAGTGTGAGGTGGTATCTCATCATAGTTTTGATTTGTATTTCCCTGATGATAAGTGACATTGAGCATCTTTTCATGTGTCTGCTGGCCATCTGGATGCATTCTTTGGAAGAATGTCTATTCATGTCTTCTGCCCATTTCTTGATTAGGTTATTTGTTTTTTGGGTGTTGAGTTTGATAAGTTCTTTATAGATATATCAGATACGTCATTTGCAAATATCTTCTCCCATTCCACAGTTTGCCTTTTAGTTTTGTTGATTGTTTCCTTCAATGTGCAGAAGCTGTTTATCTTAATGAAGTTCCAATAGTTCATTTTTGTTTTTGTTTCCTTTGCCTCCAGAGACATGTCTAGTAAGAAGTTGCTATAGCTGATGTCAAAGAGGTGGCTGCCTGTGTTCTCCTCTAGGATTTCGATGGTTTCCTCTCTCACATTTAGGTCTTTCATCCATTTTGAATTTATTTTTGTGTATGGTGTAAGAAAGTGGTCTAGTTTCATTCTTCTGCATGTTGCTGTCCAGTTTTTTCAAAACCATTTGTTGAAGAGACTCTTTTTTTTTTCCATTGGATATTCTTTCCTGCTTTGAAGATTAGTTGACCATAGAGTTGAGGGTCCATTTCTGGGTTTTCTATTCTGTTCTATTGATCTATGTGTCTGTCTTTATGCCAGTACCACACTGTCTTGATGATCACAGCTTTGTAATAACAGCTTGAAGTCTGGAATCATGAATCCTCCAGCGTTTCTTTTCTTTTTCAGGGTGCTTTGACTATTTGGAGTCTCTTGTGGTTCCATATAAATTTTAGTATTGTTTGTTCTAGCTCTGTGAGAAATGCTCGTGAGCACTGTGGTTTTTAAATGTTTTTAAAATTACATTTCTGTATTGAATTTGATAGTGTTTTATTAGAATTTCTCACCTAAGCTATAAGTGATATTATTTTAGATTTTGTGTGCTTTTTAAAAGTATTATATTATGGTTATTCTATCTTCATTAAATAAATTGGGACAATTTCCATGTTTTGAATACTTTGGAACTGTTTAAATAGATAGGAATTATATACTCCTTAGAGATTTGAAAGAAATCGCTTGTAAAATTATTTCAACTGTGTGATTTTTTTTTTAAAAAAAAAAGTAGTTTGGCATTTTTCTCTTCTTTTTTTTTCTTTTTGTCTCTTAAAATGTGTTTTAATTACACTTTTATTTATGCTTTTGCCTTTATGAATTCCATTCTCCTTTTTTCATTTTATTTTTCTAAAATTTTCAGATATTTAAAAACATTTATTTTTATTTGGTTTCAGTTAAAATAGAGTATTTAAGGGGTGTCTGTGTGGCTCAGTTGGTTAAGCATCCAATTTGATTTTGACTCCGGTCATGATATCAGGGTCATGGAGACAACCCCATGTCAAGCTTCACACTGGGAGTGCAGCCTGCCAAGATTCTCTCTCTTCCTGTGCCCCTCCACTCTTCTCACTCCTGTGCACACATGTCTGTGCACTCTCCCTCTTCCTAAAAGAAATTTAAAAGATATTTCAGACTCTTAGGTTATATGTTTAGTTATATTCCACACATTATGCCTTGTTCTCATGGACATTGCTTACTAAATATTTAGTAATCCATGTTTGCTTCCTCTCTGATCTAAGATTATTTAGATCAAATACGATCTTTTTAATTTTATTGACTTTTTGTCCCTTTATTAGTACTTTTTAGTTTTGTTGCATTATGATCAGAAGACATGGCCTGTAAACTTTTCACTGAAGTTTTCTCTATAGATCAGAATACAAGTGATTGTAGCAGTCCTCTAATTAGAATCCCTACACATCTGAGAATGTATTTCTGTTGTTTGCTAGGTTTAGAATTTTTGTATCATAATCTGTTTTCCCTCAAAAACATAAATGCTACTCCATCTTCTTCTAACATTTATTGTGCTAAAGAAGTCCAATGTTTGTGATAATACTTTTTAAATGACTTATTGTAGAAACTTGTCTATGCCTGAAATTTAAAAATCTTGTCAAAAATATTTTTAAACATAAATCTCTATGACTACTTTTGCTTGTTTTCAGTGAAGCTTTTGAAACTGAATTTTCTCTTTATGGTGGTAAACATTTCACTATTACTTATTATCATTATGTCTTCCCCTTTTATAATGTCTCTCCTTATGAAATCATTACTATATATATTTTTTTCATCTTTGAATCTTTTCTTCTGATTTCTTAAAATTATCTCCATCAGAGGGGCGCCTGCGTGGCATAGCCAATTAAGTGTCAGACCCTTGGTTTCAGCTCACGTCATGATCTCAGGGTCATAGGATCAAGTTCTGCATCAGGCTCCATTCTCCATACAGAGTTTGCTTGAGACTCTCTCTCCCTCTGCCCCTACCCCCACTCTCTCTTTCTCTCAAACCAATCAATACATTTTTTAAAAATTATTTTCATCACTGATTCAGTTTTAGAATCTAACCTTCAGGTCTCTGCTTTAGTTAGATTTTTAAAGTCTGATAATCAGGGATATCTGGATGGCTCAGGGATTGAGTGTCTGTCTTCAGCTAAGGCCGTGATCCTGGAGTCCCTGGATCAAGTCCTACATCGGGCTCCCTGCATGGTGCCTCCTTCTCCCTCTGTTTCTCATGAATGAATAAAAAAAATATTTAAAAGTTTGATAATCATGTTTCTCATCTGAAAAAAATATCTCAGAAGAAAGACATGCAATAGTCTCTAAAGTTTTCTCTTCTCTGAGGGAGCATCTAGTTTTTAGGGGCTCATATGCTTTGATTTCTTAGACTGATTGCCTTCTTCTGAACTACTGAAACATTTCATAGACCAGATAGCATTTCTGCCTGCTTATTTTTCACCAGGGACAGGGGCAGAGGAAGTGAGAATGTTTTTCCAGATGACTGGAGATTGTGTGAATTCCTGGCCCCCCTCATTTGGCAGGCTATGTCTTTACTTAAGATGGTTCCTATCTTACAGAAATTCTTCAAGTTTTCATGAACGCAGATGTCACTTTCCTTAATTTCTGGCACAGGCACCTATTCTCTCCACCTTAATCATTGTTTTTGGTGTGTTCACTTGGTTTGGGCAGAACTGGCAGGAAGGTGGGGAAAGGAGTCAAAAGTTATAGGTGCCAAGAGAGACTTAGATCATGTTGAACCAAAAATCTTCTACACAGATAGTAGTGAAAACTCTGGTAGTCAGCTGGACTATTTCACGAGCCCCATCTACAAGGAGGAATGGAAACTTCTTATCCTTCCTTTGGTGAGTTTGTGCACAAATAGTATTGTGTACAGGGAGGTCTTTCTGCTTCGCTTATCCTATCTTCACCTCATTGTTCATGTTTTACAGAAAGATGTAGACAAGGAGTTCTATCTGTTTCCCACAGTCTTTGATGAGAATGAAAGTTTACTCCTGGATGAAAATATTAGAATGTTTACAACTGCACCTGATCTGGTAAATAAGGAAGATGAAGACTTTCAGGAATCCAATAAGATGCACTGTAAGTATGAATCGTCCGCCAATATTAGGTTATTTCAGTACTGCACGTGGAATGCTTTCAATGAAACCCAAAATGCTAATAGCTTTGCCCATTGCTTAATTTTCAATAAATGATTAAATACAACTTTGAGGGTAATGTTGATATTTAAGGTATCAGTCAAATATTCTTCATTTTGCTTAATCTAGAATAATAAAACATACAAAATAGAGCAATTAGATGCATGGTCCTTAAAATGTAGCCCCTGGATCAGCAGTTTCAGCATCACCCAGGGACTCGTTAGAAGTGCAAATTCTTGGGCCCCAACTCCTACCTGTTGAATCAGAAACTTTATTTTTTATTTTTTTTAAGTTTTTAAATTTATTTATTCAGAGAGAGAGGGGCAGAGACACAGGCAGAGGGAGAAACAGGTTCCATGCAGGGAGCCTGAAGTGGGACTCAATCCTGGGTCTCCAGGATCACACCCTGGGCTGCAGGCAGTACTAAACCGCTGCGCCACTGGGGCTGCCCGGATCAAAAACTTTATGTGTGGGGCTAGCAATCTCTATTTAACAAACCCTCTACATCATTGTGATACTTGCTTAAGTTTGAGAACTACTGGATTAGATGCATGTCTTGCCTGTGGTTCAATGGTGACAGCTTCATTTTATTATTCAATATGAGGAAAGATACGGTCTCTGTTTTCAATGAACTTCAAAGATTCTCACCCTTGTCTACAAATTAGAATCCCCTGGGAGTTTTATTAAAACTGTTAAAACTATTTTTTAAGTGCTCAGGGTAACCTCCAGGAATATTTACTTCATTAAAAACCTAGCACCAGATTTTCTATTTAGTTCCCAGGGTAATTCTAAAGGTCTAGAGACAGTAAGCTAATTGTTCAGAATGTCCACACTGTTAATGGCCTACATGTAAAAATCACTGTAGTAGTAAGAAGAAACAAATGTAAAGTTGGGTTACAGACTGATGTTGTTTTTCTTTTTTTTTTTTTTTTTTTTAAAACATAGAATATTTTTATTTTTTATTTTTATTTATTTATGATAGTCACAGAGAGAGAGAGAGGCAGAGGCATAGGCAGAAGGAGAAGCAGGCTCCATGCACCGGGAGCCCGATATGGGATTCGATCCCGGGTCTCCAGGATCGCGCCCTGGGCCAAAGGCAGGCGCTAAACCACTGCGCCACCCAGGGATCCCCTGATGTTGTTTTTCTAATTGGATCAATACTAGTCGCAATCATTAAAATATTCCTTTTGGGTTTGCATTTTTGCATTTTGGAGAAGTTGAGACTATTACCTATTAGTCATAGCAGTGAGAGAACACTTCCTGTATTCACTCTTACCTGTTATTCAAGATGAATCAGAGAATTTACCATCCAAAGCGACAAACACATTCCCAGTCCACAGTGCCCAGGAATAGCTGTTATTATTCATACATTTGGGTGCTTACAAATATAACTGTTGAGAGAACTAAGAAGTGGCTAGCTGGGAAGAACAGTGAAAAACTTTAAGAACCCCACATTTGGCTCTTCCCCTTCCAGTCAGGAACTGTTCTGGGGTTGCTGGGTACAGCAAGGAGTTGCAGAGACACTCCTGACACATAAAGAGGTGGGGCAGGCATGAATGAGTCTTTCAAAAATTAAATAAACAAAGTTGGCTCTGGAAAATCTGGGAGGTTGTCATGTAGCAGAACATAAGGTAAACCACTTTTAAAATATCATTTTCCAACTTTACAGCCATTAATGGATTCATGTACGGGAATCAGCCTGGTCTCAACATGTGCCGAGGAGATTCAGTTGTGTGGTACTTATTCAGTGCTGGAAATGAGGCTGATGTACATGGGATTTACTTTACAGGAAACACATATCTGTCAAAAGGAGAAAGAAGAGACACAGCAAACCTCTTCCCTCAAACAAGTACTACACTCGTAATGCAGCCTGATACTCCAGGTATATTTCTTTAAAGTCAAGACAAGTCTCCATTGAATCAATTCATGTCATTTTGGTTTAAAATTTTGTGTTGGGTGATAAACTCATCTCTTCCCCAAGTCTCCCAAATGCCCTTCCTTCCCTTGAAGAGCACATCTGGGCCACTATTAGCTAAGTATGTGCCAGATAGGTCCATTTCCTTCCTGTTGAGAGGAAAGGAGTAACAAGTGAAGAGTAAACTGTGGTTTCTCCCATTTCCACATAGTAGAATCCTCAAACTGTTCTCTTTTTAAATTATGGTCATTTTAAAGATAGCTGGCAAATCAGACTAGAAAAGGAATGACTTTCCTAACAGCTCTGCGGTTAAACTTTTTGTCATCTCTCTGCAGCTTACATGTAGTGTTGGCTTGTTGGTGGTTTGCAATTGAGTGTCCTATACTAGAAATATAGCCATGCAAAATGAGAGATACCTATAGGCCTTGTTCTGAATGAGTAAAGCAAACTAAAACAAAAAAGAAAGAACTTTAACCAAAACATGAAACATGCTAACTTGCTTCAGGCCCTATCTGGTTCATTCTATGCCACTGCAACATAAAACAAGACCTATGTCATCTCTTCCATTATTCATTAGACAAGTATAAATAGAAGAGTGAAACAAAAATGATAAACTGCTCTTGTGAAATGGAAATTCTAGTGCAGGGACACAGACAAAAGCAAGCATATTAATATATATAGCAAGTAGGGTTATCAGTACTACAAAGAAAAATGGCAGAAAAGGGGCTAGTGACTGATGTGGGAAGGTGAGTAAGAATTCTCTGAGATGGTGACAATTAACCAGGAGGCTAAATGAAGTAAAGATGTGAACTATATGGATATTTTGGGGAAGAGTGTTCCAGGCAGAGGAAACAGCACATGCAAAGGCCCTAAAGTAGGCACATACTTGACTTGTTCTAAGAACAGCAAAGAAGCCTCTGTGACTGGAGCAGTGTGAGTGGTAGCTGATGTGATCATCTAACCAAACCATGTTAAGGACTTTAGTGTTCATTCTGAGTGAGTTGAGGAGCCATAGAAGGAGCTGAGCAAAGGAGTGACATGCTTTCTTATCTACCATTCCAGGGACTTTTGACGTTGAATGCCTAACAACCGATCACTACACAGGAGGCATGAAGCAAAAATACACAGTGAACAAATGCAAGCAACGGTCTGCCCATGTAGGCCACTACGGGTCAGAGAGGTTCTACTACATTGCAGCAGTGGAGGTGGAATGGGATTATTCTCCAAGTAGAGAATGGGAACGGGAGTTGCATCTCTTACAAGAACAAAAGTAATTATCTAGACTCTGATTCCCAATTTTAAGTTTTCTCTTTCAGAGAATTAAGAATTAGGCTAAATTTTAGGAAAACAAACAGTTGCGTTAAGCAGTAACAACAGAACAATGACAAAATGCTTCCCAGCTGGGAACCTTTCCTTATTAATCTCTGTTCTCACAATTTTCTCATAGGAAAATTTCCATCTCCCTCATTTGATTCTTTTTTTTAATAAAGATTTATTTATTTACTCATGAGAATACACACAGAGAGAGAGAGAGGCAGAGACACAGGCAGAGGGAGAAGCAGGCTCCGTGCAGGGAGCCTGATGTGGGACTCGATCCTGGGTCTCCAGGATCACAGCCTGGGCTGAAGATGGCGCTAAACCCCTGAGCCACCCAGGCTGCCCCTTCATTTGATTCTTTATAGTCACTCATCTTACTTTCTTTTCTGTTGGATTATCTTCTTATATTCACGTGCCATTATCTTGCTATCGATTTTCAAACTTAAACAAAAATTAATGCCTATATTCAAAGCTAAAATATTATTTTCCTAACCAGCTGTTTGCTGCTTATCTTATCTTTCCTCCAGAGATTTCCTTATCAGTTCAGTAATCCATTCTTTTGCATTCTTAAAACTATCATGTGTGAAGAATATTTTAAATTCTTGAGGGCAGTGAAGTAGATATGGGCTCTGTCCAAGAACTTATAGAGAAAATATGCTTCAAAACCACCAATTACATGTACATTATGGAAGTGTTAAAAATAAGTTCATTGTGAATAAATATAAGTGCATCAGTTCTGGAGCTTCAGAAACTACATGTAGAGCAGTATCACTAGATACTTCTAGAAGATCTTTCCAACCACTTTCCCCTCCCTCATCTTATACAACATGGATATGATTTGAGAGATTGGGATGGACATGTGTTCAGATCTGGGATGTACAACATGCCTGGTAACCTGTAGCTAAGCTAAGGTTAGCTGGTTAGTTTGACTGTGACAGGGAGTATGATTTGTAGCATAGAAGAGTAAAAGGTTATTTCAAGTGATGGAAGTAAAATAGTCAAGCGTCTACAGGAGCCATGAGGAGTCAATGCAAACTTTAGGGAAAGGGAGTGGCTGGAAACACAGGGCCATTTCAGCTCTTATAAACCAGAAATACTACATCAAGCAGGGAATTCTTCATCCATGAGATCTGGGCTCAGAATTTTGGAGCTGCAGAGAAACCTTAGAGATCATGTCATCTCCTACTTCATTTTAGGGGTGAGGAAACTGAGGGACCACTGGTCAATGACTAGCTGGAGGTCATTTTAGCTAGTGGCAGAGTCAGCACCAGGTCTCAGATGGCTTTGCTCCCACCTAGAAGCACTTTCTACCAAATCTTTCTGTTTCTAAAGTCTTATTCTTTCTTGCTGAAATAGGAGAGTACTATTAAAATTAGCATAATTACTTAAATGAAAACTGTATTTTTATTCAAAATTTAAAACTCAACTTCAACTTCCTTTGAGACAGATACTAACCTTAGTCATGTGTCTGTTTTGTTTAAGTGTTTCGAATGCATTTTTAGATAAGAAAGAGTTTTACATAGGCTCCAAGTACAAGAAAGTTGTGTACCGGCGGTACATGGACAGCACGTTCAGAGTTCCTGTGAAGAGAGAAAATAGAGAAGAACATCTGGGAATTCTAGGTACTTTAATCATCGGTGTGGGGTAGCGATGTGATACTATGTGCAATAAGAGTACAAGTCCACAGGTTTAACTTCCCAGTTCATTGTCAAAGGTATTCAAATAAAAATAAAAGTTATACAATAAAAACAAGAAGCCTATACTTACTAAAGAATATGGCATAATAAAAATATTGCTTACCTCTCTTAGAAACAAAGCATTATCCCATATACTAATGAAATTGTATGCATTTGGTGTTCGTCAAATTGATGCCTATAGTTTTGGTGAAATTCCTAGAAATTATTTTCTAATGAAAATCTTAGAGTCTCCCTGTTATTCTGCCCATCTCCCCCTCCCAAGTCATAGCTATTTGTCTTTAAAATAGCCATGTGAGTGATTAACTCCAAGAAATAAAAGTACATATAGACAAGGAAATATAGAAAAGAAAAATTGTTGCCGTACACAAGGCATGGAAGAGTTGCTTTCCTTTTTTCAGAAATCCTTTTAAGAGAGAATGTCTAAGAATTTGACCAACATTGGTCTTGGGAAATTTCTTCAAGATTACCAAGTGCAAGGGACATCATTCCCAGCCCCTCTGTACTAACAGAGTACCCTGGGGCTTGCCATCCTCAACCCCTGGAAGAAGACATGCGAGGGAGAATGGCATTGTTGCTGGGTCTCAGAAATTCTCTTAGCAGCAGACAAGCTAAGATTGGCTAGAGAGAGGGTAGAAATGGGAGGGGGTGGCCCCACCCACTCTTCCAAATGCAGTACTGCCATAAACTCACACTCAAGAAGGTCTGGAAGTCCAAATGCTGAGAAATGAGAGCAAGGGCTATACAATGACTCTTGGCCAGGGTAGGGTCATAGTTGACTCACCAAGATTAGGGCATTGACCTGCAGGGGACTTTTAGGCCAAAACCTCCCATAGGACTCTTGATGAGAGATGCACCCTGGGTTTCCATTTATAGAGGCAACCATTACTAGTGTTTTTATTCTGAATCTTCTGAGGCCAGGTGTAAATCCAAGAGTAGTATAGTATGAAGCCAAAATTGGGGGGGGGGGGGGGAATAGACTCTGGCCTTAATGCTAAGAAAGTTACCTGATATTTGCTTCCATTACTGAGTTAGAATTTTGCATCTGATAGATATAAGCCACTCTTCTTTCTTACTTTTGCCAGGTCCACAACTTCGTGGAGATGTTGGAGATAAAATTAAAATTACCTTTAAAAATATGGCCACAAGGCCCTACTCAATACATGCCCATGGGGTGAAAACAGACAATTCTACAGTTATTCCAACTTTACCAGGTACTCATGCAGGGAGAGGGGTTGCATTTTATTAAGCATTATAGGCTTTCTACAAATGACTGTTATCATCAGAGAGACATTCTTTCCAAATGGATGGTGGTTAAGAGGGCATGCAGGGAGGTGTATCTGTGTGTATGTCTCCATGCATCTACAAGGAAAGGGAAGGGAAGGGAATGTTAGGGAAGGAGGAGTCAAGGACAGTGCTAAGGTTTTGGGAGTCTGCTATGGGTGGCTGAGCAGGCTGGGGAATGGAAGAGAAGGAAATGTTATTTTTTTGGTTTATGAAGTTAAGAGTATAGATGAAGAGATGATAATGTTCAGGTGGTGAGTCTATGCTTCATATTCTCAGTGAAATGTTCTGCTTAGAAAAAGGGTGATGAGGTAGGGGTAGGTAAGATGGAGAATCTGAGGAAAAAGTCTTATCACATCCCTTGAAACCACCCTTCCTGTCCTGCTTGATTGTCTAGAAAGCATTTGTCAGACTCTGGCTAATGAAAGTCTGACAGCATGAATATGTAACAGTGAGGCCTATGTAAATGGAGTGGATGGTGAGTGCCCACAGCTAAAAGTCAAGTTGGACAAACTTGGACAAAACTCTAAGAAGACTGGAAGCAGAGATCGGCCTGGAGAAGAGCCCACAGCAAATGGAAGACAGTAAAGGCCTTGACAAATTGGAAGGGTGGAGCCACTAGCTATCTTCAAGTGTCAAGGTCCAGGGTATGGCAGTGTCCTATATTTGACAGAGCTGTGACGAAACAGTGTATGGTATGACAGAATGGGACAGACCAGAGAGGGGGTCACTGTGATGAGTCAGTGACCCCAGAGATCACAAGGTCTAAGGGCTCCTCACCAGGAATTGTGGAATCACTAGGGATAATATTGAAAAAGGAGAAAAGGAAGGCCCTGGTATAGCACGGGAATTACTCCGGGCAGTCCAGGTATAAGCACAGAGAAGACTTGCACACGTGACTAGGGGACATCACTTGACAGCTGAAGACAGTGTTTTACAGAAACATACTTCAAGCTAAAAAAAAGATGTGTCACAAAGTTCTTTCAAATTATAATATTGATATTGCCACCTCCTGGTTTGGTGGTATTGTACGTGTGTCATGGCTAGGTAATTCATAACTGACAAAGAAGATCTAAAAGTATGTCTTAAAAATAAATAAATAAATAAATAAATAAATAAATAAATAAATAAGTCTTACAGTTTGTCTAAAAACTGAATTCCTGAAAGGAATTTTGAGTTCCACTACTTTTTAAAACTAATTACCAATAAATAAATAAATAAATAAAAATAAAAAATAAAACTAATTACCTTGACATTTCCAGTTTCTAGGTCACTGGTTATCAAGGCTTACTGTGTATATTTATATGTATATCAAATATGTACCAAATGTAACCTGATGTGTTAACACTCGATTAATTTAATCTAGGTAAAACTCGCATTTACACATGGAAGATCCCAGACAGAGCTGCAGCTGGAATAGAGGATTCTGCTTGTATTCCATGGGCTTACTATTCAACTGTGGATCAAGTTAAGGTAAACTTTAAATCATTTATGTTTTGTGAAAATCCCCAAGATAGACACACAGTTGAGGAAAGATGAGATTAGAGTTTTCCTATGATCCAATTCTATCTTAAAATCCCAGCAAAGTAAGCTTCTCTACAATTCACTTTGGTTTCATTTTTTGGTTTGTTTCTTTTTAAGGATAGAGTTATAAACATATTAACCCTATGACTGCTGATTATGGGTAACAGAATCAAACATTAATCAAACCAAATATGAATCTATGATTAATATGAATATATTAATATAAAAGTATTTCACCTCCCTTTTGACGTAAAAATACATTAAACCAAAGAGCTGAGGTACATGATTTCAGAGCTCTGTTATTGTATGATAATAAAAGTGTTGATCTCAGTAGTCAATCCAGCACAACTAAAGCTACTTGATTGAATATTTCAAAGCCACCAAAACACTCAACAACTGCAAATCAGAACTTGTTCCAAGATTCTTTTGCAGAATTAAATCTTGAGTCCAAATCTCTCTCCAGGACTTCTATACACCAGCCTACTGATCATCTCCACCAGCATGTCCCACCAGCACTGGAAATACAACAATTCTAACATGGAATTGAGATCATCCTCCGCCTCTTGTATTTCCTATTGCAATAAGTAGCACCATAAATTCCAAATCTACTCATTTGTTCAATCTAGAACCCTGGATATGAAGTATCTAATTCTCCCCCCTGGCTCAGACAGGCAATTCAGACACCTACATATAATAGTCTATTCTTTCTATCTCCATAGATCAGGTTCTTATAATTTGCCTCACTACTGCAATGGCCTCCCAGGCTCCAGCCTCTTCCTCCTTCAATCCTTCTTTCACTCCACTACCAAGATGACTGGCCTAAAATGCAAATCTGCTGCCATGCCATGTTCAATTTTTCAATGGCTACCTATGACCCATAAGATAAAATCTAAAATTCCTGAACATGATATGGCTCAAAGGCTCTTCCAGACTTAATCTGCCATTGCTGACACCCAGCCAAACCAAACTTCTCATAGATTTGTCAACTATGGTCTTTCTCCTCTGTATTCCTCCCATCGCAACAAGTGATTCATTTCTTCCATCCTCTATTTCCTCTACTAGCCTGAGTTCCTGGAGGGCAGGGGCTTTGTTTGATTCATCTCTGGATTTTTAGAGACTGGCATAGTGTTTGATTTATGGAATAGGCAAATCAGCACTATTCATTTGGGGTTCTTTTAAATGGCTGCTCACTAGCTGAGTCAATATTTGGCTCCGGCACACATTTCTATTACTTCAGCATCACCCATTCGACCTACCTACTACTCATCATGAGTCCAATTTAACTACAAGTGGAAAGTGACTGACCCAACAGCACTATGGTAGGCAAAGCCCATTATTTAAATGAGTCCTCTTAAAATTCCCAAGGTCCCAGTTCTCTGAGATGCTGACTTACATCATGAGGATGACTGAAGTTTTTGCTTGTTTTCAGGATCTCTATAGTGGATTAATTGGCACACTGATTGTTTGCCGGAGACATTACACGGAATTCTTCCATCCCATATTAAAATTGGAATTCTCCCTTCTGTTTTTTGTTTTTGATGAAAATGAATCCTGGTACATAGATGACAACATCAAAACATACTCTAACCACCCTGAGAAAGTAAACAAAGATGATGAAGAATTCATAGAAAGCAATAAAATGCATGGTATGATACATTATTTTAAACTATTTTTTCCCTTCTTTCAAATAAAATTAGCTTGGAGACTACTCATTTGTTTAATTTTTCTTCAAGATTTTATTTATTTATTCATGAGAGACACACAGAGAGAGGTAGCGATATAGGCAGAGAGAGAAGCAGGCTCCCTGTGTGGAGCCCAGTGTGGGACTCGATCCCAGGACCTAGGGACCATGCCCTGAGAGATGCCCAACCAACTGGGCCACCCACACACCTTCATTTAATTTTTTAATAAACCAGTTCTGCTTCACTGTGCATGTGAGAATTCTGTTCAAAGCAAAAACCATCTACTAACTTCTCTCCCAATTCCAAAGTCTCATTCCATTTTAAACTCACAATTAGGATTAAGGCTTTTGGTGCTAAGTGACTAGAAAACCAGTGTGACATTATTGACCTTAAAGTATTCATTTCCTTATCTGTAGTGAAATAATTTCCATTACCTCAAAAAGATCCCATACATTAACCTAGTAATTATATTGTCAGTGAAATTGCTATTGATTTAAAATATCCTAAAAGGTAATGCAAAAACCATGTGCTTTCCCCAGCTATTAATGGGAGAATGTTTGGGAACCTACGAGGCCTCAGGATGAATGTGGGAGATGAAGTCAACTGGTATCTGATGGGAATGGGCAATGAAATAGACCTGCACTCGGTACATTTTCATGGCCACAGCTTCGGATACAAGGTAAGAGTGATCCATGGTCATTAGTCTTGCTCTACTGGAAAATGTTTTAATTCAAATGAAGAAAATATTCATTAAAAAAAAAAAAACGTTTTAAGAGACAACTATATTATTTTCAAAAAGTGAACCACACAGCAACTTCAATTGCAGTTACCAACTTCTGTACACATTGGGTTCTTTCTTGGATTTACAGGCTTTCATGGGTTTTCATGGAATTCTGCTCACATATTGCTAGGCAAGGTATTTGGATAGAATTGTTAGCAGTGAGGTTAAGAATGTTCATATAATGATGAGTCAGTAGAGACAAGACTAATTTATAATCTCTACCTGTTCTAATTTCTGAATCTTAAATGGCCTAAAGTGAAAAATGTTATCATTTTGGTGTCAGGCAACTGATTGGTCCCCAGATCTTAATGCTACTACTTCTACTTCTCACCCAGTGCTGATTTCAGCAGAAGTCAATAGCTCCCTTTCTTACCTTGAGTTAATGTAGAAAATTCAGAAGCAATCACACAGCCCATTGCAGGAAAGGTCATTTTGCTACCTGTATTTTGGTTTACATAGATGTTATATTCTTAGGGGGCTCTCAATTTTGTCCCTGCAGAAATGCCGCCCAAGGGCTCCATGTCTAGTGTAGACTCTCCCTGAACTGCCCCTGGTTCTGACTTCTCCATTTGCCTCCTTTTCTGCTCCCTGCATTACCATCCCTGCCACAAAGTTTCACAGGCCAACTAATCCAGGTTAGGTTCAGCAAAAGTGAAATTAGGACTGAAATAAGGTCAGAGCTAAATTCCCTTGCGTAACTCAAGTGCTCTGATAAAAAGGCAAACGGAGTGTAAGAGGAGCCAGGTTAGACCTAAAGGATGAATGACTCTCATCACATCTTTCCTTCACACCCACTTTGTGGCCCATACTGCCAGGCATTTAGCAGGAGTTCAACGACCACACATCTCACCGTTTGTATTGGACGCAGAAATGTGTAAAGTCTCTCTCTCTCTCTGCCTCTTTTTTAAAACAGATTTGTCCATTTTCCCCGTATCCCTAAACTGGCCAATGAAAAAGTATTTGAATGAACTATTACATATAATACACATTATATAATATTTGTCATTTTTCTAATCAAGCACAGGGGCATTTATAGGTCTGATGTCTTTGACATTTTCCCTGGGACATACCAAACTGTAGAAATGTTTCCAAGAACACCTGGAACCTGGTTACTCCACTGCCATGTGACCGACCACATTCATGCTGGAATGGAAACTACTTACACGGTTCTATCAAATGGAGGTGAATATCGAGTTAGTAATTCTAGAAGTCGTGTATCATGAATATAATCAAGATGTGCTACTTTGCCTAAATACTTCACCCAGTGTGAAGCACCAGCTTGAGGCAGTGTAATTATTACTAAAACTGATATAAGATAGTGGTTGTGTTATATACAAAAGACTAACTGTGACTTACAAAAGATGTATTTAGAATTTAATTTCTTTCTTAATAAAAAACATTTAACCTTTTTTCTAGGTAGTACCTGATATACAAGGAAGTCTCCCCGCCTCCCGCCCCGGTCCCCCAAATCAGTATAATTTCAAATAGTCAATTAGGCAGAAATGTCTTTCTGCACTTCTAGGGGTGAGGGGAAGTATTATTGATTATTTTTGTCAGAGATTATCTAGTCCATTCAGGCTGCTGAACAAAATACCAGACTGGGTAGTTTAGAAACAACACATACTTATTTTCATAGTTCTAGAAGCTGTTAATCTGAGATCAGGGTGCCAGCATGGTTAAATGAGAGCCCTTTCCCAGGTTGCAGACTAGACTTCCTATTATACATCCTCACATGGTGGAAGATAAGCTAGCGCTCTGGGGCCCCTTTGATAAGGGCACTAACCCCACTCATTAGGGCTCCACCCTCATAACCTCATCACTTCCCAAAGGCCCTACCAAGTTACTGTCATCATGGGCATTAGGTTCCCACATATGAATTTTGGAGGACACAAATTGTTCAGACTATAGCCAAGATCCAGGAAAAAAAAAATAGAATCTAAATTTCCTGTTTCCCCCACCCCAGCACTAATACTCTTTCCTATGTACATACACATGTGCACAGGACACACAGGAAAATGAACAGCCCTTTAATGGGTAAATATTCACAAACTGTGTTCTACAGAGGGAAATTCCTGGTGTGTGGTTGCAGGCTTTGGGTGTTTCCTGGGTCTTCTGAGTTCAGAATTCTTGGAGTTGGCAAAAACATCCAATAGGGGGAAATGATGTAGAGAAAACAACTCCTTGTGTTTCCTTTTCAAAATGGGCATAAATGGGAACAAATAAGTGGAGGAAAATATAGAAATAAATCTCTTAAAAAAAATAAAAGTCACTGAAAGATCAACTGTTAGTGCAAACAACATGTTTTCATGTCTGCTCCCGCGTTTTTACACAAACACCTCATAACATAAAAAAACTATTCTATTAAAACCCTTTATTACAAAGGGTAGTACTGAGAGTACTGGAACACCAAATACAGGCAAATAAACCACTGAGTTTAATACCGGTAACTACTAAATGAGGTGGTCAAACATGAGAAAGAAAACTTAGTGTTTAAAAGAATATCAGCACACATGTAAACCACCACACAGCAGGATGGTCCTGCTCAGAGTAAAAACCAAGAGTGAGGGAACACGGAGGCAGACATTCTGGAAATTCATGTGTGCAAAATGCATAACCTGCAGAGGATGCTGCTGCAGGGTGATCCTACACAGTCCGACACTGAAAAGATTCCTGCCATAGAATAGCCTGGAGGGGGAGGGAGATGATTGCTTGGTTAAGAAAAGGGAGATTTTTTTAAAGCCATAGAGAAAACTATAGAACAAATAGCAAATGTAAGGGAAATATACTTACACTGGGTAAGGGAAGAAAGAGAAATTATCTTTTATAGAAGGAAACTGTAAACTGAAAGAAGCAGTAATGAACAAAAAAGATAGTTGGAACTATAAACAGGAAAATGGGGAGCCATGTTTACCAGTCAAAATTATCTTTAAAGTTCGATAAAGCTTTGAGTAAGTCTATATTAATTCTGAATCTTAGAAAATTTTCTGGCTATCCTGACATAGAAAAGAAAGCACATCAGGTTAGAGTAAAATTCTTCAATATTATGCACCAGGAGACAGGCGATTTCCTCCACAACGAAAAAATATCACTAGAAAAGAATTGCAGATATCCTGTCATACTTAATGTAATGCTTCATTTCCCTACTGGAGGAAGGATAATAAAGACCTCCTCTGACAAACTGAAAAGGTATTTTTTTTTTTTTTTTAGATTGTGACATTTCTACTATAGTCAGATAACCTTTTGGAGGAGTCTGTAGGAAAAAAGCTTTAAGTTATTTATAGGCAGGGATGGTATATTCTGTACTTCTTCTATTAAGTACCCCAATTCAATCCAATATTCTGCTTGGTAAATATCTAACCACCTGTTAATTCAACAACAACAAAAAAAGAATTTTAAAAAAGTTTTTTGGACAAAGTATCAGACTTACAGAAAATTTGAGAAAACAGTACAAAAAATTCCCATATACCCTTCACCCAGATTCCACAAATGTTAACATTTTAGATAGCCACATTTGCTTTCCCATTCACCTGACCCCCACCCTCTCTAACACACATACAATGGTAAATATATATACTCACATTTTCTAAAACTAAGGATATTATTATATATAAACACAATAGACCTATCAAAATTAAGACATTAAAGATGATTCGGGGCACCTGGGTGGCTCAGTGGTTGAGCATCTGCCTTCGGCTCAGGTCATGATCCTGGGGTCCTGGGATCGAGTCCTGCATCAAGCTCCGGCAAGGAGCCTGCTTCTCCCTCTGCCTATGTCTCTGCCTCTCTGAGTGTCTCTCATGAATAAATAAAAATCTTAAAAAATAAAGAAATTAAAGATGATTCAATACTACAGACCCTTTTCAAATTTCACAAATTATTCTAATCACGTTCTTCACAGAAAAAGAAAATCCCACTCATATATTATGTTTAGTTGGCTTGTCTTCTTAGTCTGGAACAGTTTCTTGGTCTTTTATAACTTTGACATTTAAAAAAAAAGATTTATCTATTTATTGAGAGAGGGTTGTGCAGAAAGGCAAAGGGAGAGGGAGAGAGATAATCACAAGCAGACTCTCTCCTGAGCATGGAGCCCAACTTGGGGCTCCATCTCATGACCCTGAGAACATGATCTGAGTTGAGAAGAGTCGGGTGGATAACCAAATCAGCCACCCAGGTGCCCTGACTTTAGCATTTTTAAAGAATACGGGGCAACCACTTTGTAGAATGTCCTTCAATTTGGGTTTGTCTAATGTTTCCTCATGATTAGATTCAGGTTATGCATTTTTTGGCAAGATTCTTACAGGAGTGATATTGTTTTTCTCAGTACACATAACAAGAGGCAAAAGATGTTGATTTTTTTTCCTTTACCAATTATGTCAAGTTTGAGCATTTGATTAAGGAGATGACTGTCAGGTTTCTCTACTATAAAGTTACTATTTTTCCCTTTATAATTAATTCCCTTTATAATATAATCTTGCAAGGAGGAAAGCAATTTTTCTTTAAATAAAGCAGTACTAGGATGAGATGTATTTTTAAATGTATAAAAAATGGACAGATGTCCATTGACAAATAAATGAATAAAGGAGATGTGGTATATATATTTGCAATGGAATATTACTGAGCCATTCAAAAAGAATGAAATCTTGCCATTTGCAATGACATGGATGGAACTAGAGGGTATTATACTAAGTGAAATAAATCAGTCAGAGAAAGACAATTATATGATTTCAGTCATATGTGGAATTTAAGAAACAAAACAGATGAACATAGGGGAAGAAAAGGAAAAATAAAATAGAATGGAATCAGAGAGACAAACCATAAGAGGCTCTTAACTATACGAAACAAATTGAGGGTTGCTGGAGGGGAGGGGGTGGAGGAATTGGGTAACTGGGTGATGGGCATTAAGGAGTACATGTGATGTAGTGAGCACTGGGTGTTATATGCAACTGATGAATCACTAAAATCTACCTCTGAAACTAATAATACACTATATGTTAGTTAATAGATTTTAAATTAAAAAAAAAAAAAAAACAGGGATCCCTGGGTGGCGCAGCAGTTTAGCGCCTGCCTTTGGCCCAGGGCGCGATCCTGGAAACCCGGGATCGAATCCCGCATCGGGCTCCCAGTGCATGGAGCCTGCTTCTCTCTCTGCCTATGTCCCTGCCTCTCTCTCTCTGTGTGTGTGACTATCATAAATAAATAAAAATTTTTTTAAAAAAGTGGAAAAATAGAAATGAATCAAAAATAATTAAACAAAGTAACTTCTAAAAATTAGAATATATTTAAACCATATGGTATATATAGTAGTCCCCCCCTCTTATTAACATGGGATATGTTGATCCCCAGTGGATGTCTGAAACTGCGGATAATACTGAACCCTATATATACTATTTTTTCTCCTATATATCCATACCTATGATAAAGTCTAATTTATTAATTAGGCCCAGTAAGAGATTAACAACAACAATAAAATAGAACAATTATAATAATATACTAGAATTAAAGTTATGTGAATGTGGTCTTTTTCTCTCTTGAAACATCTCATACTGTACTGATCCTTCCTGTTCTTGTTATGGTGTAACATGATAAAATGCCTACATAACGAGATGAAGTGAAATGAATGCCATAGGCATTGTGACACCGTGTTAAACGACTATTGACCTTCTGAGGAACATCTGCCTCTAGACACAGTTGATCGCGGATAACTGAAGCCATGGAAAAGGGGGGACTACTGTACTGCTTTTAATAATGGTCTTAAAATTTCTTTTTCTATAGACCCCAAGTTTGGCTGAAAGAAATAAATTGGTGATAAGTGGAAAAAAATGGAAAAACAATGATTCATAATAATGTACATGAAAGTGCTGAAGAAAAAGTTTACTTTGGAATGGCTATAAGCATTAAAAAAAGACAGAAAATGTATGCTTTCATGAATTTGTGGGGGAAACTGTTACCTTGTTTCATATGAAAAGATCAACAGACACATGACTGACTCTAATACACTTACAATTGATTTATATAGGTCCTTCATATCAGCACCAGAACTTTATAAAACTGTATTCTCCACCCCTACCCCCAAAATCTATGACCAGATGTTGTTCTTGATGGTTCTTAAAGGATCCCTATTAAGATTCATTGAAATGTTCCCAACCATTGGCTTCCCACATAAATCTCTCTAACATGGTGCT